TATATATAACATTTTATATTAACTTTGAACAAGTTTTGACATCAGCTGTAGTTTTAATGACAGCAGAAGATTCAGAAAAGCGATAATAAAAAGTAAATATTTATTTTCCTGTCAGTAAAAAAAACTCAATTTTCTTACCCAGAAGATGAAGGAGTAAAACAGCAGGAGTGTCTTCAGACAGAAGATTGCTGGTTTAGTTTCCATCCTTCTGGGAGCCATCATCCATATGACTCAAACTGGGCTCCTTCCTCCTTTCCCTCTGTCTTTGTACTGGCTGAGGATGTTTTCTGAAAGGACAAACCGCGCCCTCTGCTGGTTATACATTGAAATGCACCAACTTCAACAATAAAAACAATTTCTAAGAGTTTTGGAACCATTAAAGTTAAGTTTAAACGTCATTTAAACTTAACAAATTTATTATTTCATAAAACATTGCAAATTATTAGTTTATTTAAACAGCAAATAAAATGTACCACAGAGTTCAATTTTAGCTCTGCTTTGACAATTACCTGCATTTATTTAAAAACTCTGCTGYTGAATCATGAATGAAATGTATTTTCAAAACGTTCTGACATTGGCTCAAAATGTTCAGTAAACCAGTCCACTTCCTCAGACKGACTGCAGATCAGCTTCAATGAAAGTGTCTGATACACCCGAACATGTGAGAATATTTCCAGTAACTGGGTGGGGGTGGGCCGGACGTCACTTTGGTGTAAATTGTGTGGTCAGAGTGTGAGTTATGACAGTCACATGATGGTGCTCCTGATGTCTGCTGACAAACATTTACTTCGGATCATTTCAGAGTTTCCCTTTAGTCTGAAAACTAACATTTAAATTAATTTATCCAGCTAAATAATGTGCAGAAAAACCCTCCAGTGATAGCTACAACACCCTTAAAAACACATAAAATATAAATCAAAACAGACTACAGTCAGTAACAAATCTCTTAAATTATTTTTAATTCACAGCACTGATTCTCTCAAATATAGATGAACATAGGCTGAGAAACCTGTTGAAAAATAGTGGATCAATTTCAGAATAATGTCCCTCTACAGAAAGACTTAGATTAGCTGTAACAGATTTGAAGAATCTGGATAAATCTCCAATCTCAAATCTGAATATAAATATCAGATGGTCACGATCTTTGGGCTTTCCACCGCATTAAAAACAGGTCTGTTTTTGTTCTGGACATGACTGCATGGGCTCAGAAACAAGGCCTCGCTCACAAAAGAGATCTGTGATCTAAATGGGATTTTCCTGGTTRAATAAAGGCTAATACAAAGCTAAATGTAGCAAAATACTAGCTAAAGGCCAAATGATAATCAGCTAATTTCATGCCGTGCCCCTCTTTTTCTAGACATGACTGCATGGGCTCAGGAACACTTTCTCAAAGCTAAAAGCAGCTAAACATTAGCTAAAGGTCAAAAGATAATCAGCTAATTTCATGCCGTGCCGTTCTTTTAATTTCTAGGCTTTACAAATAAATTCCATTCTGAGCATGAAAATCCAACAAACTTACATTTATAAGAGCTCAATATGAGCTCTGTATTAATGGCTGCAATAATTTAGGGATTCAGGGWTGGGCAACTTAAAAGATGGAATGGTCCACAATGTTTTTTGATACTACCAGACGGCCACGTAGTGCCCATGTACCCAAATATAATAAAACTGACATTTTAAAATGTTTGTGTGTCCTGATCGAAATTTTAGGACAAGCCAAAATGCAAGAATTCACAATTAGCACTTTTGGATCTTAAAGTTCTAAGTAGAGTTTCAAAATGCAAAGAGAAGAAATGAGAGAGAGAGAGAGAGAGAGAGAGAGAGAGAGAGAGAGAGAGAGAGAG